TATGACATTAACGCTAAGACAGTCCCGTCTTACTAAACTTGAACTGACATGATTACATTAAGAAACGGATTTTTTGTTGTTGTTTAGCAGTCTATGTTAACGTTCTTACTCTTTTTGTTTTGTTATATTTTCAGGTGTTGGGTTATCCCAATAGGAATGTATGAATGGGTTATGAACGGGCCCTACTTGTTCAGCTTACTGGTAAGTGTTCTGTCAAAACGTCCACTTCCATGGGTTTTGTTTTAGCTTATGTATGACTTGCTGTGGTTTAGTTTAGCTAATGTGGCTTGCTGTGGTTTAGGTTAGTTAATGTGACTTGCTGTCACTAAAAGTGAACTTGGGTTATGACACTAAGACAGATCAGTCTTACTAAACTTGAACTGAAACGATGAGATTAAGACACTTCAGTCTTACTAAAAGTGAACTTAGGTTATGACAGCAATACAACTCAATCTTACTAAACTTGAACTGACATGATAGTCTTACTAAAAGTGAACTTTGGTTATGACATCAAGACAACTCAGACTTACTAAACTTGAATTGACAAGATGACATTAAAATAGCTCAGTCTTATTTAACTTGACTGACATTATGACATTAAGACAATTCAGTCAAGCTGTTTTAATGTCATAATGTCAGTTCAAGTTTAGTAAGACTGAGATGTCTTAATGTCATCATGTCAGTTCAAGTTTAGTAAGACTGAGCTGTCTTAGTGTCATCATGTCAGTTCAAGTTTAGTAAGTCTGAGTTGTCTTAGTGTCATCATGTCAGTTCAAGTTTAGTAAGTCTGAGTTGTCTTGATGTCATAACCAAAGTTCACTTTTAGTAAGACTGAGCTGTCTTAGTGTCATCATATCAGTTCAAGTTTAGTAAGACTGAGCTGTCTTAGTGTCATCATGTCAGTTCAAGTTTAGTAAGACTGAGCTGTCTTAGTGTCATCATGTCAGTTCAAGTTTAGTAAGAGATAACTTTGTTTTAAACTTTACGTATGTAAAACATTTGAATGTACTCTCCAGTTTTTAATAATGAAGTTTATTTTTGTGTGGGACATTCTACCTATTGCAGCATTCCGTTCTGTGTGAATGAGGCAACTTACACTGTCTTTTCACCATTTGTACTTAACCTATTATAATGTTGTTACAAGTATGATATCATAAGGGCGTTGTAATTACTCGATGTAAAATAATATATATTCCTTTGCACCAACGTAATGTCAAGAAGCACACTTGCAACACCAACGTAACGTCCAGGATCACTCTTGCAACATTAATTTTTACCCCTGAAATATTTCTTTTACACTAACGTAACTTTATGAACGATACTTCTAACTTGAAGTAATGTTAGAAATACTGTTTACGCAACATCATCGCCTCAGAAACGTCAGGGTTAGCATAATATAGTACATCAACGTAACGTCAAGAACTATACTAATATGTCAGGGTTAGCATAATATAGTACACCGAAGTAACGTCAAGAACTATATTAATACGTCAGGGTTAGCATAATATAGTAAATCAACGTAACGTCAAGAACTATACTAATACGTCAGGGTTAGCATAATATAGTACATCAACGTAACGTCAAGAACTATACTAATACGTCAGGGTTAGCATAATATAGTACATCAACGTAACGTCAAGAACTATACTAATACGTCAGGGTTAGCATAATACAGTACACCAATGTAACGTCAAGAACTATACTAATACGTCAGGGTTATGCCATGTGTCGTAACTTA